GCATAGATCCAAGTCTCATTTACATTTGCAGCCATGGCTTGCATCTACATGGAGAGCACAGGCTGCAGGATGACATATGTACCCTGTGTGTCCGGAGATACTTACTTTGCCACAGTCCAGTCCTTTCCTCAAGGCAACTCTAGACAGCATAAGCAACCTGCACTTACTCACATATTTGTAATACTTGAAGCAAAATGGCGTTATATTCAGCCTGTACTTGTTTCTAGGACAGGGAGGAAAAAGAGAGAGATGGCTATCCACCTGGCCTAAAAATTTACATGTGCATAAGCTTGCCAAGAAAGTTAGTGTGTGAAAGGGGTTAGAGGACTGAACATCTCTGTTCAGCGTAAATGTCCCTTTGTTTTCTAAGAATCAAGGCGGGGGAATCATCTGCTTGAGAACCCAAACCCTGCTGTACAGCAGATACCCCTCACCAGCCAGCAGCTTTCGTTGGAGTTGATAAAGGAGAAGCAAATGGGATTTTGCATGGTCTTTGTGAAGAACTCTGCATCTCCAAACCACCTATTCCTACTACTTTTTTCTCCGCAAACAACCCCATAATGTTCAGTGAGGAACAGCTCAGTAGTAACGTCACGTCTATTTGTCTTCCACAAACTGCACTGAAAAAACCTTCACAATGAGCTTGGCCTTCCCCTGTCTGCAGACTAGGGAAAGATGAGACTGATGTGAAAATCAGCTGCAGTATAAATCTATGAGAAACATGATCCTCCTTTTTGCTAACCAGCTAGATGTACATCAACCTAAGGATTTAGGAAAGTCTAGGTAACAGGCGGAGAATACAAACACCACTTGTAGAAGACAGACTACTAGAACACAGCACACACTGCCTGCCAAAATAAAAAGCCCTGCTGAGATAGCTGTGCATTTGCTCAGGAGCTTGTGCTTAATTTTAAGGATAATTAGGATTTGTCTGAAGCCAAAGTGGATATAAATAGCAACTGAAACCTGCTAGTATCTTTCCTCCATCAGTTGGGCCACCAACTGTTTGGCAAAAGGGACTCTTTGTGATACTAACAAGTCGTGTCTGCTCAATCACACCATATCAGCACTGACTCATGCAAGCTGCAAAGGGGTTTTAAATGCCAGGGAGAGCTGGTCTTTTGTATTCTGGCAGCTCCTTACTGCTGTTTTATACCACTCCCTCTCAAATGAAGAGCCTGGAATAAATGAAAAAAAAAAAAAAAAAAAAAAAGAAAAAGATATGTCAGTTGCTTCACAGCGTTTAGGGCTCCCCTGGAGCTTAATTATGTGGGAACTGTGACACGCAGTCTGTCAGCTAGAAGGTGGCAGATCCCTGTGGCACATTTTGAAAGGTGTGTTGTGAAACACTACTTGTTTGCTCGAGACCTACAGATAGCTCTATAGCTCTATAGCATGCCCTGTGCAAACCACAGGTTCCCACAGCTGCGTGTGGGTTCCTCACGTTTGTCACCTGTGGTGTCCATGGCAGTGAGTTCCAGCATCCCCACGCACACTGCAGTTTGAGTCTCCTTTTAGCTGAATGGCACATAAATATTCTCATCTTCACCAAATAAAAAAAAACCCTCACTCATGTTTGTTTCCTGCTGCTCTGTATCTCTAAATCGCAAGCAGGGCTAAGTGATCGGCTCCGTAACCTTACAAATTTTCGGACTCTAGGGTCATAATTAAGGAAGGTGTATTGCCCCCTAGGAATGTGATAAACAGCTCCTCAGCATAATTCTGAAATGAAGCAGCACAGAGATCATATTCCAGAATATATTTTCAAATGTATTTTGAAAATATTTCCCCTGTTTCCCCATTTCCCCGTTTTTATTTTTTAAATCATAAGCACTAGAACCATTAATTTCTAAGGCTCTCTCTTGTGTTGGTGTCTAGCTGCCACAACCAAAAAAAAAAACTACACAAAATTTCTGTCCCAGTTTATATTTTCTATTTGCAAACGTTTACTCCATTCTCAGAATTACAAGGAACAGCTTCTTCTACTACATGCAGGAGGTGCCTTCATAAACTTGTCATATCCTGATGTTAGTAGCATATGGTATTGAAAATATTCCTACTGCTTAGAGAGAGAGCTGTTACAAATACTTCAAGCAACAGTTTGTAGACATGATTCTACAGTGCACCAATATTTTTCTCATACTTTCACATTTAACCATATAGTGAAGACACCCCATTGAGTTTCAAAAAGGATGAGCTAGACCATAGATTTCTGGGGCCCTTAAAATAACATTTCCTTTAAAATACCATATGCATAAGACAGAGCCTGGTTCTTTCTTCTTCATTTTACGAAGTAGAGGAGTGAATCTTTTTTTTTTTTTTTTTTTTTTTTTTAATGCTGTCATGAAATACAGGAATAACTCTGCTGTACATAAGGAAAATCAGACTGCCTTTCTTTACAGCTTAAGGAATATAGGCTGTGCCTTAGAGAACACAGATGTACTTCTTGCCCTGGCTGCCTTGCAAATTGAAATATTACAATACAAAAAACTAGAGATGAGAAATTGGAGTGTTAAGCATAAGGCCAGAAGGCAAGACTTCTCAGGGATTTAATATGGAACTGGCATCAAAAGATAGAATTGGTCAGAGGGTAACATCATTAGTCCTCCAGATATACTGAGCAACAGGATATGTCAGATGGGGTCAAAGAAGGGCAGGATCACTGCCCTGAGGGAATACATGACGATAAATGGTTGTCTTTCATGAAGAAACCTATTCCTTATCTGCTTCCTCAAAAGGATTCTGTGTCTCTGAGCAGTGTAATTCCATCTCAGCTCACTTTTCCCAGAAGATGACTGAACTGCCACTGGGAAATGGCTTAGCTACCAGTATTCAGCTACTTTTCTGGGAGGATAGGGGTGGGTAGAGTAGATAACTGGGTGGTTTTATGGTATCTGATACTGTGGTTTCATGGGTTCTCCAGTAGTCCCCTTCCCTCCTCCAATTTTCTAGATGATAGATGGTGTGTTTCTACTCATTCCTTCACCATGAACATTTTCCCTACTCTTCTCAGTACTTGTGTAGCCACAACTCCTTACTGTAACAGCTGAACATTGCCTGGTCTCTGCCTGCTTATTTTTGCAATGTATCTGAGAAGGGTAGTCTCTCATACCTGACAGGAGGGGAGCTCAAGTGCAGAAAAACTCATCTCTAGTTACAAAGGTAATTTTGTGGGTAAGCAGGTAGTTGAATGGGGATTTCTAAGATTAAGATACATCCTAATTTACTGGCTATAACTCTTAGGCCATACTTTGTTAGCACTGAAAGCTTCAGGGATTTCAAAATGTATGCAATTATTTTTCCACAGTATATACTATCTGCAACAGCCTTCTTTCCCCTCCTTCCCCTGAAATAATGAGACTTTTCTCATTGAGGCCAAGGCTTCAGACACCTACTTAATCAAATCTGACCGCTAAAGCCTTGTGCAAAACAACACAGATAAGAAGGAAAAGAGGAATGCTCAGTTTGCTCCAAAACTTATTTACCACACAGCAGCAGCTAAAGAATACAGTCATGGCAGAAAAAGCAACCCAGGATGTTTTCCCTTGAAAAGCCTCAGAGTGAAAAATTAAGGCACGGCAGGTCAATTGAGAGATGCATACATTAAGCACATTTCCTATCTTGCCTTAATAATGTTGTATGCTGAATGCAGCAGCACACACTCCTTCCAGTCTTTAACTATCCAGTCAAACATGACCATTAAGCATATTCGGGAGAAAATACAAACATGAGAAATATACCATGACATCCTGTAGAACAGATACACAGGGAAAACAGAGGGTAAACCCAAGGGCAACCAAACAAGAAATATGGGGCACAAAATATGCTGCACAGTTGATATAACACAGAATTCAGAGAGGTGAGAGAACAGCTTTAAGCAAAAACTAAAAGAAAAACACTCAAACAACTCCTTCCCCCTCATGCTGCCAGATTTACGGTTTCTGTTCTTGAAATCTAGGCCAGTCAGAATAACCAAATTTTGATACTTCCTTAAGGTCTAGTTAGACCAGATGTAATCTAACTCTCAGATGACAGATCTGCCAGGGAACAACAAATACACAAAGGTGATTGTTAACAAAGTCCTTTGCAGGGCAAGTTGACCTGGTATGTTACTGTGAAAAGAAACAAAGCAATGGAAACACCAATGTAATTTGTATTCAGTGAGAATAGTATGCTCAAGGATACCACAGGAACTTAGGAGAAGAGTTATAACAAATTTTCTGCCTCTACTTTTTTTCCCCAAAACATTGTATTTCGCTTTATTTTTGGCACCAATAGCATTATCTGTTGCCCACAAATTGCCATTGAAAAGAATCACACATTTTAGGCTTCACATAGATTTCCCCTGATTGGAAAATTAATTTTTTTACAGTCACGCCATTTAGCATCAGTTTTCAGTTGCATAGCATCATTAAAAGACTCACAGTGTTTTTGAAACAGGATGTATCCAGTGTTAACAGTAACAAAGCAGGGAAAATGGAAGCTTAAAATTTTGTTGAAAGTGTACAAATAGGTAAGAAAACAAGGTACTAGCTAACATTTCACATTTAGACATCTTAAGTTAATCCTCTGAAATAAAGGTTGAATCTGGATGTATAAATATTATTATTAGAACACAACCAGTTGCCATGAATGGTAGGTAGCCTCAGAAAACTCCAGAGGTTAACTGTTTCTCAGCTACAAAGTAAATAAAAGCTACAGTGACAAAAGCAAAACATGGGGACTTCCTGAGGCCATCTTTCCTATTTTCTTAGCCTCTTTCAGCTGTATTAATCATGTCAGTTAGGACAAATTTCCTACTTCCATCATATCAATCAGTTTGAGTAACCTGTAGAAACCGCAGAGCAACTAGAGAAAACTATGTCAGTGTGGACACTTGAGGAAAAATAAGGTTATTCCTCAGGAACAATGTGATTCTGGAAAATTGGTGAAAGCTACGACAAAACTAAAAAAGTGAAGTATTAAACACTAAAAAGTGAAAAGCATTAAACACAGATTACCTGGGCACCTACTCTAAAAGCAGCTTCCACTTGAGCTTTGAGGATGTTGCACTTCATATGGTCAGGTACAGATGACGGTGACACAGGGGCATGAAGAGTCTTTTCAGACACCTTCTTGTCTTCACCCTATATTTAATAAAAAAGATAAGCACAGTGGCACATATTAGAATGGTAAGTTTACAAAATGATCAAAGGGTAAATTTTTACTTGTAATCATTTGATTCAGCAGTACTGATAAAACTTCCATGTTCATACCCTGATAGATATGTCTCAGAAGTTTTCAAAATATTTAATGACTTGATACTATTTGCAAGACAAGAGTAGCTTCAGGGAAGCTTGAGTAATAGAAGCAAGAAATTGATGTGGAGTGAAGATACATGAAAGAAAGCCCAGCCAGGCCCTGGAGTGGTCGACCAAACCTGTGATCATACTGGGGAAGAAAAACATTATTTCAAAACATCCCACAAGAGGCAGAAGAGAGAATAACACAACTGTAGTGAACACTGACATCTTACATCACCCTTCAAATGTAAGGCTTTGCAAATTTAACCAGAGGGATCTGAAGTGATTTCCACTTAATTGCAAGCCAAGCAAAATCTCTGTCATCAGAAAGAAAAGAAAAATCCAGGGAGTTTAAACATTGCTGCTGCTGTTTCCACTTGATGTCAACCTTTTACCTATGCAGCAATCTGGATGAGAAATTGTAACCTCAGGACAGCTAGTTTAGTGACCTGTTCAAACATGACCTAAAGGTTTTGTGCCTTAAACAAATTATATCCAGCAGAAATGCCAACATGAATAAACTTTCCATGCAGAAAGGGAAAACAAACAAACAAAAAGAGACATACTAATGTATCAACAAACAGTATGAATGAGACCAGGATTGTAAACATGAACGCTTAAACAAAAGCCTGTAGTATGTTTCATATTTTTGAAGAATAATTGGGCAATGGCATAACAGCCATTGCAAACTCTCCTATTCTTCCTGTAAATAAGACCTGAATTATAGATGAGTAACAGCCTAGATAATGCATTTTCCACTCTCATTGCTGGGAAGAGTGAGTGGTTGTATATACTCAGACAGATCTGATATGCAATGCAGTCATTTAGATTTCAGCTAAAACAGGTACAAGGCATCAGTAAACCAAGTTCAATGATCCTTGAGGTTCACCTCTGTCAAAGTATTTCAGGACAAAACCTATTTTTTTTCAGTTTATTTTCAGTTACCTATTGAAACTACCATGTGATTAGTTCTGCCCTCCCCATGCCATCCCCCTGGCTGATGGCAACTACAGCCTTACTGACTCTTTTCTCAGGTCCTTGAACAATCACAGAAAAATGGGAACATCAAGATTCGGGGGACACTTTCTGCAAGTGGAGCAAATCACAAATGCAATTGTGTTGCCTGAGGAAAACTATTCAGCAAACATTGGGAAGGGAAAGACTCTCTGCAGAACTCTATTGAGACTGCAAGATATTTGTTTGTATTCAAAGCTGGTCTAGCAGACTTCTGCATCCAAAATGCCACAGCTGCCAGGTATGATTTTGAACAACTGTCTGTTAAAAAACTGCTTATCATGAGATTTTTTTTCTCTGGTAAATTTCTGATATTTCTTACATGTTTATTTTTCAAGCTACATTTACTTTTTTGGGAGGATATTTTTGGACTTTCCATTCTCCCCACTTTCCTCCTAAGGGAAAAAGAAAATACACTAAATGAAAAGTGACAGTATCTAGCTGGAGCAACTTATGGAACTGTAGTCGTCTATTCAGTCTTGAATATAACAGTAGTCATGGCAAGTATATGAAAAAAAAACAAAAAACCATTAAATATTTGTTTGCCATAGCTGTCTTTTCTAGGCTACTCATGCAGCTGAGATATGGCGATACTCAAAAGGAAAAAACTTACTGTAAAGAAAGCACAACTTTTACTTCAACAATAGTCTTGGTAGCCAAAGAGAACTACTATACATTTTAAAAGGGTTGCTATTAGTGTTAACTTTTAAGTGTATTGATTTCTAGCAGCAGAAAGAACAATACACTAAGTAAGCAGTGGCATTTATAAAGGCCATGCAAAATCCCACTTTGTTTTAACACTGGATACTAATTAAACATCATTTCAATCAAGTAAGATTAAGGAATGGTATTTTACTAGTTAAATAAAGACAAGCAGTGCTTGTTTAGGAGACTAGTTTGTTTTGTAACTAGAAAAGTTTCAAAGCCCCATCCATCTATTATTCAGATGGATATGGATATTTTTCAGTCCTTATCTTCTTCCTCCACTGCCCAGTTTTCCCACACTGACCAAGAGCAAGATAGAAGCTCCCAGGGCTACCCTTTAGCTGGGAACCTTCAAAAGGTCTCAGTCTCCTGCTGTGTTCAGGATTATGCCAGATCTGCATGTAATGGAGATCCCTGGTGTGAGATCTGATGTGCAGGTATCACATTGAGATTTTCATAACATGAGAGGTCCAAACGCTGATGCTCGCTGACCTGGCTGAAAGGGAAAGCTGCTGCTGCTGGAGGGTGCACACTTCTTAGAAGCCATTCCTGGGTATTCAGTTCTGCTTTAGCCCTTGCTTGGGCCACATTTTAAGGGTTTCACCTTAAAGCGAGCAAAATTTGCTTTGCTTGCACTGCAACAGGAGCAGCACTTAAAGGTAACTGGTCACACATGAAGAGCAGACATTGCTGCAACTGCTGCTCGACAGCCTGCTCACCAGATGCCAAGCCAGCAGCTGAAGGCCCCCATGTCCCCCTGCCCCAGTGGGAATGCTGACTGCACACAACCCCCATATGGGGCTTGGGAGTGCTCAACCTGACCCAGACCTCCTTTATCCTCTGAACATACGTGAAAGGCTGCTTTGCCAGCCTGCCTTGGCAGTGACGGACTTTTCTGCCACAGCGCAGCACATCCTGAATCATTACTGAATTCTGCTCTCCTGCAGCTGATTAGCTGAGACTATTATACACAGTCAGTGGCACTGAAGATTCAAACTAAAAGTGAACTCAAATCACAGAACAAAGTAGGACCTCCTTACTGCAGTCTATTAGCACTTATAAGCATTTATATAAGTTCCTATTGTTCCTAATGTCACTAATATTTACATATAAGCTCACTCATCCCCCAAATTAACTCTTAAAGTATAACTGTCTTCAAGAAGGCAAAAGAAAAGAAAATATTTCAGGGCTAGAAAAATACATGCAGAATCTTCTACAGTTCATTTCACTAGTTTATAAGAAAATCAAAGATCTAAAACCCGCCTACATTAGGAATCTTTATATACTACTGCTGCAAGAATGAAAGCTGTAATCTAATTTATTTTGCCGTATAAGAAAGGAATTTTACATTTTCACAATCCTCACTGCTTGCAGTGATGAATGAAGCATAAAGACAGCAGCTGGGTATTCAGATGTTGACCCAGGTTTTCAGTTACTAAAATTTTGTTTTCATTTATAAACTAAGAATATTCTATTTGAAAGTCATTAGAAAGCTAAATATGGCATACTGTAATGAAACTTCCTATTTTACCATTTCTTATTATGCAATTCAAAAGAATCTTAGATGCCCCTTTCAAGTGAGTGTCTTGGAGTCAAACTTGTATTTGAAAGAGGTAATTTTCTTGCTTAGATTTGCAATTTAAACTCATCCTAAAAGGTTTAGAAATGAAGAAAAAAATCATTAAGATCCCTGATAACACTCCAGTTTTCCATCTCCAGTTCTGCTGGTGCTAAATAACAGCAATGTGTTCACATTGCTTGCACCATTGATGAGGAACTTTATTTTTCCAGAGGAGAACACTGGAGAATTGCAATTAAATGGATAGAAGTGGGTCAAACAAGCTCAGATACAAACACACATAAAACTAGAGGCATTTTTTTCATTTTGTAATTGAGGTCTTGAGCTTGTTTTTCTCCTCCCAAACATTTACTTTAAATTCAATTACATTTGCTGGTACTAGAACTGAAGGCAGATTTGCACAGTGTTAGATAATGATGACACTGGCTTTAGTTTGCAAGTGAATATTAAGTACAAGTACAGAATATAAAAATAGTTGCATGAAACCCAGTAATACCACTCATGTACATAACATTTCCATTTGCTCTGCTTTAAAGGTTCATGCTTTCTTCCACATCAAACTTTGTACCAAGAGCAAGATTCATGATCTTTCACCTCCGTGAATTTATCAATAGCCTCTTCTTAGCCAAAGAGCATGTTTAAAACATGTATTTTACTGGACATAACTCAAGAATAGAATTAATATTTTCTTTAGGAATCTAGGTCTATTCTTTGTTGCTAGTCATCTCTACTAGTGGGAGGTAAAATTTTAACAAAGACAGCACAGATATATAGGTTCTGAAAGTACATTAGCTATAGAAGATGTCCTGGGACTCAACTACATCTACAAATGTGCATACATCTACAAATGTGTGGACTCTTTTGCCACCTTTCCACTAGGAGATTAATTGATTTTTTTCCCCATGTGATAGCTAACATCAATTACAAACAGACACCATGATGATAAGACCTGTATAATTACATGTTATTCTTATGCGAGGCAAAATGTGCAAGCAGAAAACTGTAACTTATTTATTAGAAAAAAAATACAATTAGAAAAAAAAACAACAATCCCTCCTCCCCTCATTAAGCTGTCACACACAAAAGATCTTCCTCATGTCATCTATCAGTTGGTCTAATGAAATATATAACTCCTGATAAATCTTGTTATGCTTTTATCCTTGAAGCAAAGCTCTTTCTGTCTTGGTATCAAATTTATTTTATAAAACACTACTGCTCAGTATCATTAGATCCTTCCTCTGTCAGTGTCAAGCTTCACAATAGTCTTACTGGGCCATAGTAGTCACATTTCCCAGGACATACTTTCTGATCAGTGTATCACAAGCAAGAGTCTCAGATATATCAGCAAAGTGAGTTGGTTTTGTGGGTTTTCTTAAACTATGAATGATTTTTGGAACTGCAGTAGCTTTAGGCTTTGCAGTCATGCACAGGACAGGTAGTTTCACAGCTTTTTTGCAAGTGGTATCATTTGCAAGTAATCAATCTGTATAACTGAGCAGCTCTGTAATATGGTCTTATCCTGCTAGCAAAAGGCCAATCTTTGAACAGAGTTTGCAAAGACAGTAAGGCACATCAGGCTTGTTCTGTCTGAAGCTTTCTCAATCTGCCTGCAGCTTTGTTCTACTAAGTCTTGCTGAAACAGCAATAATTTTATATAGGGAACTGTAACACAAATAGTTATTCTTTGTAGAATGAGATATTTTTGACTTGAATGCAAATATGTAGTACAAAGCAATGTAGGGCTGGTATGATAATGGGGGCCTTAAGAAGTGAAGACACAGGACACCTGGTAGAGGAGTGCTGACAAGAAGAGACAGCACAAGGGGCACAGGTTGGCACTGGGGACCCGCTCATAGCTATACACAACTCACCAATGGCCATTTAAAGTGCAGAGCTTGACCTGGAAAAAATTGGTTTTAGAGGCAATGAAGAGAGTGAAGACAGAGTATACAGCATACAAATGTAAAAGCCACCATCTACAGTAAATTTGAGTATAATGTGGAGATGTAGATCAATGAAGAAAGAGCAAGATGTAATTGCTTGTTTGCAAACATACAAAATGATAAAGTATATTCTAGAGCGAGGAAGAAGAAAACATGAACTTGACTGGATGGAACATTGCAATAGGCTGCCCAGGGAAGTGGCTGAGTCACAATTCGTGCAGGTGCTTAAAAGATGTGTAGGTGTGGCAGTGAGTGATGTGGTTTAGTGATGGACTCGTCAGTGCTGGGTTAACAGTTGGACTCAATAGTCTTGAAGGTCTTTTCCAACCTAAACAATTCTATGATTCTATGGCCATCATAACATCCCCTCTGACCCCACCAGAATGAAATCACCAACCTTAGGATCCAGGGCTGTAGGGGAAGGGTGAGTATAACATCAGGAAAAGTGGCAGAAACAATTTGAAATGTGTCATTATTCTTTCTTTTTATGTAATAAATACATCTGGGCTAATAATTACTAGATTCCAGATTTCAGAAATGCTAACAATACATTTTTGGTTTTATACCATACACACAAACACACACACACACACAGAGTGGGAGACGGGACAACATATTTTTCTAATGAAAGACTTCCACGAAGAAAATCAGAAATACATTCACAGCTACAACACTTAGGCTTGTCTCTCCTGGAGATGAAGGAGTGTGCTAGCACCAAAGGAAATGAAATGCATGTTGAAATGGACTTTTATCATTCAGTAGGTGGACAGACATATGGTACACTATACCAAACAGCTCTGGGAAAGAGATTGGACACATCCATTCATCATTCCCATGAGACAAAGTTTGCTGCAGCAGGCAATCAAATTAATTAACTGCTGAATCTAATTTACCCAATTTCTTGTTAATTCTCCTATGGGTTGATTATTAAGCCTGACAAATTCTAGCCCAAAAGCACTTTGCTTCAAAAAATAACAATTAGCAACAGAAAGGGAGGGAGTGAAAACTGAGACTTCACAATAGATGTGGAAACTACTGCCTTTTTTTTTTTTTTTTTTTTCAAAAATAGAGTAAATGAAACAGCTTCTTGACAGCTTCACTGGTTTAGTTTAAGCATAATATTTCAGGGGATGCAAAACTAGAGAATACAAAGCGCTTAGTAGACCAGAAATCAATAGAGTGGTACAGGAGAGGTGTTAATGTTCCATTTTTTTGCCAGAAACTAGACAGATTGACCACTCATTAAAATCTGTTTGCTGCCAGACTGAGTAGCTAGTTAACTACCATAACCAAAGGAACTTTAAAGGCCACAGTCTCAGTGAAAAATACTTGTCACAGTTTGTCAGTTCGTGGTTGATCAATTCTGTCTAAAGTGTCTCATTGCCACCGTGCTGGGCAATGCTCCACAGCGTTTTAGCCCAGGGTTAGCCCAATATTTACAGCATGTCCCTCTCTTTCACTGGAGAAGCCATCTGCTGAGGCAACTCCAGTCTCTGCTCAGAGCTCAAAGACCTGTGGTTTACTGGTTTTAGCTTTATGGACTCTGTGTGCACATTTTACCAGGACCTAGGTCAGAAAATGATGTCTGAAGAACAAACCATAAGCAAGGGGCCAAAGAACTTCAGAATGAATCACTGTCACAACCCATAGCCTGTAATGTGATGGCTGGATCATTGAGGTGTTTTCTGGTAGTGATTCTGGCCCAGTTTCAAGAGTATGTACAATTTTCAAATGGCTCAAAACAGTAATTTTAATAAATTTTGAAGGACTGGCCTCATTTTAATTTGCATGGTAACCATTGTTCATGGGACTCCTGCCCAGTTCTTAAACCCAAACCCTCTATGACTGCCAGGGGAGGGATTTCATTAGACAGCCCATGTCTCTACCCTTGCTTTTTGCTAAGCTTCTGCCAGAAACAGAAGCATTTAGCAGCTCTTGGTGCTCATTACAAGACTTTTCCATCAGCTAAACTTTGACTGATGGCAGTCTCACCACAGCAGACACAGGCTGCACTTACTGTGCAGCTGCATTTATTGTGAAGCTCTGACTTGCTATCATACTGGGTTCTGCTAATTAGTCCTTAAATAAATAACTCATCTGACTGTGGACAAGACTCTAGAGGTTTAAGGACAAACCAAAGAAAACCATTAATTATAGAAGAGCTTAGTTCTCCCTTCACAGATTTGCAACAAATAAGAGCGATAGGATCAGAGGTCAGGCTTTGCCAGGCAGAATATACAGGGACTCTACTGAGATTACTTGCACAGTATGGTGGAATACAGGACTAAAGGGTTTTAAGCTTTCAGTTAAAGAAAAAAGAAAGACCATAAATCTACTCATTTTTAAATCACAAGGGTACCATTAAGATCATCTGTTTGGGTCTTTTGTGCAACACAGGTCAGATTGGTTTATCCACTTGTGCCCTGTGGTCAACATGGAGAGAGTCCTCTCACTTACTTCACTTCAGCCCTTTAAATATTACAAACTGAGCTGTCAATGAGCTCAATAGGACAGTCCTTTAAAATACGTTTTGGACATTGCACTTGAGTGAATGCTCTCACCTGGGACTCAGATATCAGTAATCACTTCAGAACTACAAAAGTCCCCTCACAAGACCTGAGTATTCACTGGAACAATCTGAAATGGAGAATTTTCCTTTGGCAAACTATGCCAATGCTTAACAAGCTTTGCCTATAAAAACTCTGTACTTATTACCAGTTAAGAGTATTTCTAAAAGGACAACTTGAGAAATGGTCATGGGTAAAAAAGATTACTTCTATTTCACCCCAGTTTATTTACTTTATGATTTATCTTTTTAATCTCCATTTAAACCAACCAGACAAATTGACAATTTCTCACATGTGATAAAATAGATTTGGGAAAAAGTCTAAACCATTCCATCTTCATCTGTTCATTGAGAAGTCTCCAAAAATCATGACATAGGTCATGACCACATTCATAAGGCATAAGGACTGCAGTCTGTAGGTGAACTACACCACTATCCCATGACATAGCCTGAACGTGGTTCAAGGAAATCTTCATGACAGAAAATCCACTGCATTATGGAATAAGTTCAATTAACTACAATGTTGGAAAAAAATTCCAACATTTAATTTTTTTATTAGAAACACTTGACTCACTGATTTTCAGTCTTGACTTCCATCTCCTGGAGCCTCCCATCAACAGAAAAGAAAGACTCTGCTATATGGATATAACCCTTTGTGCTTGCACAAGCTCCTTTGTGCTTGTATTTTTGGTACACTTGATCATCTCCCCTTTGATTTTAATTTCCCTAATGCTTGTTAAAATAATATAAATAACAAAAGCCTGTTTGTAAAAGTAAAAACAACAAGGCTTTGTAAAACCAAGGTAAAGTAATTTGATTTCTCCCCTGAGCTGACAGAAAACTCTCAAAACTCTGCTTCGCTTTTAACAGACCTGTACAATCACTGGGGGCCCAGACTCACCTCATTTGAAGCCAGTGGCAATGCTTGCATTGACTTCACTGGGTCCAGCCCAGGACCAACATGGTTGCAAAACAGAGGTCCAGGTCTCTGTGGCTCTATCCAAACTCAGATCAAGGCACCCCACAGTGCAGGCACAGTGAATTTAACCTCACATGGATACAAGCAGCCACCAACCTGCTGGCCTCTGATCTCTGGCAGAAACAGCGGGACATGCATTCTATGACTCTGTAACTATCATCACTCTCTACAACTCCCTGAAAGGAGGTTGTAGGCAGGTGGGCGTCATTCTCTTCTCCCAGGCAACCAGCAGTAGGACAAGAGGGCACGGGCTTAAGCTTTGCCGGGGAGGTTCAGGTTGGATATTAGGAAGAAATTTTTTACAGAAAGAGTAATCAGACATTGGAATGGGCTGCCTAGGGAGGTGGTGGATTCATTGTCCCTGGAGGTTTTTAAGACGAGACTGGATGTGGCACTGAGTGGCCATGGTCCAGTAACCATGGTGGGGTTGATCAAGAGCTGGACTTGATCTCAGAGGTCTTTTCCAACCCAGTTGATTCTATGATTCTATGGATGTTTTGCCATCCTTGACAAAAAACTCACTCATAAAACACCCACTAACATCAGATGCTGGGAGAGTTTAAGGCATAACATGGACTCCTCATGTAGAAAAACAAGATTTTTGTTTTTTTATCACTTAAATTGTTGTTATTTTTTACAGCTCTGGGCTCCCTAGATGACTAACTCTTCACAACTAAACTAAAACTGCATCATAACATTGTTGCAGCAGCTTCTGAAATTTTAAAAGGCAAAGTTGATTGAAATGCTAAATCTAAAATCCAAATCCCAGTCCCATAAGGAGATGGTGAGAGGTGATTAAAAATCAAGCCAGTTGCAGATGAATGTTGATTTGAATTGGAGGTGAAAAAGCAGCAGCTTTTGAATATGAAGTGACAAAGGGGCTCTGGCATATATACGTAAAAGTATTCATGTATATGCTATACCTTGTTCATGCTGACGTGGAGGGCTGGCCATGGTCCAACTACCTTCACACTCTCTGTTTCTATTTTCTTCAGATGAGAAGTTTCATCATAAAGAAGGGGAAGTCCTGAGCTCAGTTCTAAAAAGATGCCCAAAAGAAAGAAAGAAAAAAAAAACAGTATGAGGGAGGCTACAGAAGAACAGCAGAGCAAGACACTCAATTCTATTTGAAGAGACAGTGGTCAGCAAAGCATCTTCCCTGTATGACCCTCTAAAATGTTTCATAATTATGCCTGTCAGGCATCTCTATTTAGCAAACAATTCCTCCCCCTCCTCCTTCTCACCCATCCTTTCATTTCAGCAGGACTTTTGCCAGCTTTAAGCTACATACTTCTCTCCTTACCCCCCCGCCCCCCACCTCTACCACCTCTATATTCTAAAACTCACTTGACACCAGAGGGATTATTTATGCAGCCAAGGTGCCACTTTCAAAACATGTGATGTGTAAAGAGATTAGAGTATAGCTTTTGGTTTCTCTCAGACATCTTTATTTATATGCCAGCCTCTTTAAGACTCTTGTCAGGAATTTGCTGTGCTTTGTCAACAGAGATTTTTAGCAAGCCACCGACACAGCAAGACAAGGAAAAGTACTTTTTGAGACAGCTCTGAAAGGTTTCTGTCAACATCTTGGGGGTGGTGTGGCATATATATGTATATTTGCAAGTACTCTGAGAAAAATAAACTTCATCATGTGATCATTTAACTAATCTCTGTGTCCTCCTGTATTTCTTTTTGCCACAGATTCTAGGTAATAACAATTGGGAACAATCCAGTAATCTCTGGAGTCTGATTCAAAGCTCACTGAAATCAATAAAAACCTTGCACTGGCTACAGTTTGCTTTGGATCAGGTTCTTAAGCTGTCCTAAGAATATTAAATATTACTCACTCAAGATCTAATTCTACAGCTGTTTAAATATACATTAAGGGCTTTGCTGACTAGAGGCAAATTGCTAAAACCAGCTTATAGGGATATAAGCAAAAATCTGGTTTTGGTATTAGTGAAACATTATCAGACCCTGAGGTAATAAAGTCCTAGAAGGGGTTACAATATCAGTATTGACCTCCCCTTGGTGGTCTCTCATCACAAGCCAGTGTTGCCAGGGGTTGCCAGAGTTCAGCATGTCTCACATCACAGCTGACACTGTGAAACTGCTCAATGATACCCTGGGAATAAACTACCATAGCCATAAGATAAGACACGATGACTTTTTTCTTTTCTTTTTTTTTTGCTATGATTTAAAATGGACTTTTAAGCTGCTTCTTTTGTTTAAAGGATAGCTCTGGAAAACAAGTAGGACAGTTTAGTCTTTTGACTCAACCTTGAAAACAGATTAAAAAAAAAAGGCAAAAAACTGAAGTCCCACAAAAGGCATAAATTTCCTGAGTCAGCGGTAAGTCTTGGCAAAACCAGACTTTCATTCCAAGAAAGGATCTGGCAGTGCTGTGGTTTTTCAGAGCACTGTTTTCAGCTTGAAACTCAGTACTGTTGCCAGCTTAGGGTTATGCAAGGTCTTTTGTAGTGAGCAGTTCAGTAATAAAGGATGTCTTTTTAGAAGTGATAACCTACAAGCTCAGCCCAGAGTTCGAGAGGCAAGCTGGGTCCCCTCTTCCCGTTCATCATTTTCTGTCATAAAAAATTCTATGAGCTGCATTAAATACTTGTTGGCATCTGCTTTCAGTGATAGCCCCAGCTGCTGCCGGTGAGTCTGCTCATGTGCACCTGGTAATCCATGCACGACGTTGCCATGCCAATTAGGCTTTGCAAGCAGCTCGCCCTCTCTGTGCTGCAAGGCCAACTGCTGTTGAATACAGTGGTCTTCGGGACTGGGGTTCTGCAAACATGCTGGGGGAAGATGTGCTGTGAGAGAAGATGGTATGTGTGTTTGTGAGCTTCGAGGTGAAGAGCAGCATCGCAAATACGATTATCAGGCCAAATGCAGGAGAACAACATCTGCTGAACTGCCTTCATAAACACACACATTGGATTTGTTTCACCGGATTTCACTTTCTCCAGTAATTGAAGTAGACAAATTACTTGGAATGTGAAAAATCAGGTAGGTCTGGCCTGAGTTTGTTTTCTGTAACAAAGTTCTAGGTTGTGTGTTTGCTGAGAAACATGCACTGCTATTTAAAGGGAACTTTGGTTGGGCATACTGTTGTTTCCCTCTCTCCTGCCTGTGTCCTGCTAATGGCACTGGAATTTTGGCCTTTATCTGAATAGAACCAAGTGGGGAAAAAGGCAGATGCTTTCCCCCTCTTTCAGCCTGATGCTGGTTACATATTGGTGGGTTATGCCACGCTCCACTTCAGATGAATTTAAAACCATTTCAGAACTCAGAGATGAGTCCAGTCCATAGCAACTGGAATAAGTCACAAAACACGTGTGGTCCCTTGGAAAACCACAAGGTAGGCAAATTGAAGTGCTGATGTCATCTCTGTCAGCCTCATGGAGAAGTTTCTGCTAAGATAGCACATTTACCCCAGGAGACCTTTTTGCTCTTCAGGCATTTCCACTTGAGATATTTTGGTCACAAGCCTCCACTTTCCTGAGAGTGTCCCCAAGTTAGTGACCACTTACTTCCTAGAAACCCTTTCCCAGCAGTGGCCTTTCCACACAGCCTGAAGCCAGACGTCAGTCCCCCACATCCTCATGTTCCTGACACAGACCGCTGATAATGTCTCCTCTCCCCGATTTTTTCTTGTCCCACACACTCCGCCACGTGTGCTTTCCCAGATAACTAACTGACAGCTGGCATTCTCCTAACCATTCCAGTACACACACTATGAACCTTTACCACGAGTTCTCTAAAAGAGAGTTTTCTCAGATGCAATAGCCTGAGCAGCATTTTAATGAAAACCAAACCAAGCCCCCTCGAAAAGGCACTTAGACTTGTCACCCCAAAGTGCAAAAGGGTAACTGATTCTGTTTTAAGGGAAGCGGTCCTACCCATACTGCCACTGCTCTCACAGCATAAACATACCAGGATCAACCACAGACTGCCTCTTCAAGGAAAATCAGGTTTGCACCTCCAGCCTGATGCACAAGTACAGGTCTCCGCAGGGGATCAGTGATGCATTGCTGTGGGGCAGCATGCCTGTGTCAATACAAGCCAGCACACAGCATGCACAGCTGCCTAACAGCTCAGCTGGGAGCATCTGGCATGCTTGCACCACAGCCTCCCCTCAGAGGTGTCCGGTCCCTTTCTGCTCCCTTAAAGAAACTGGGAATTGGTGTTTGGCGCTACTGGCGTTAGGCCATGTCAGAAACTAGCCCCAATTCTCTCCTGAATCAAATAGCCTTAAGCAGACAAAGTGAAGAGGAAGGTTAATCTGTCTCCAGGAGCAGGTGCCGCACACAGGTCTTGGCTGCTGAAGTCCCCTTCAGAGCATGGCAGCTGCCGGACAGGCCAGGGAGGCTGCTCCCCCACCAGCAGTGCAAGGTTTGGGGGAGAGGGCTCACCCTCCTCGTGCCTGGGGGAGGAAATGCAGCCTCCTGGGCCCCAGTTTTACCTCAAAGGTAACACTCACTGGGCACCAAGAGAACTGTTCCTGATGTTCGCCCTTGTGCTTTTCCTAGGCTTTTTCTAGGGTTATTTCTGCAATAGAGAGGAGCAGGAAAGCTGTGTGACCTAGAGGAGACAGAGTGCTGGAATAAACACCCCTCGCTGTGTGTTTTTTGCTGTTTCTTTAATTACCTCCTGTCCTCCAGGTGGGCCCATGGCAGGGCTGTGGGGAGCTGGAGACCAGCCCTGCTGCAGCACTGCTGGGGCTGAAGCTGAGGTGCTGTGAGGCTGACACAGATCCATGGGCTGGACAGGGGGAGCCTCTAGGAGGGGGATGGGGAAAGCAGGGCCTGCAGTGCCCTCCGGGTCGGGACACTCGGCAGCAGCAGCAGAACTGGCTCTGAATGAATTTCCTGGCATGCTTCAGCTCTAATTTGGGAAAGGAAAATATGGGCTGGCACACCCCCCAGAAAGGTCACTACCTCCCACTGTGCCAGGCCGATAGCCCAGGCAAGGCTTTCCAGCGCAGCCCTGCCAGCAGCATCTTTCCACTGCCAGCGCCCAGCTGGCACGCAGGGCGGCCCCAGGACAGACCGACTGAGGTCCGGCGGGTGCTGGGCCAGGTGAGCCGCCCAGCAGTTCCCCAGCAGGATGGTCTGCACTTCTCTCCCAGACAGTGCTGGCTGCTGCAGAACAGGGCTGAGATGCAGATGCTCATGGGTGGCACAGGAGCACCCAGCAGCCTGCTCTGGGCCTCTGTGGCTGTACTGTGCAGGGGGTGGCCATGCTGGCGGTGCTCCATGCCAGCCTCGTGTGCTTCCCAGCAAGAAGGTACCCCACTGTGCAGCACACAGCCAACAGAAAACAACACATTTCCTGGAGTTTGCTCCTAAGGGAGGAGCTTCATTCAAAGCCCTAGCAAGCAAGTCATATTGCTGCTTAAGGTTGCTTCCTTAAATGTCTACCATGCCTTGCGTTTTGCTTCTTGAGCTTCTCTTCTAGAAAGTATCTCCTTCTTTTGGGGAAGGAAAATAAAAGAAAATGTTTCTGAGTTTCTGAAACTAAGTCTGATTAAAGTGGTTGTGCAGGTAGCTGCCTGTCTATTACTGCTGATGTGGGACAGCCTACAGTCAGGGTCACCCAGCACCATCATAATAAGACCATGGTTTCAGGAATTTGAAAATTGTCAGATTAACTGACTAGGCTGAAAGTTTCCATAATGGATGCCTATCTCAGAGTGATTTACAGTTATGAAGGCAGAAACTGGTCAAAGGAAGAAATTGTTCCTTGAAACAAGGAAAATAATAGATTGTATCTTATTTTGTGCATCTTCTGAAATTCTTACACAGCTCCAGTATCTCACACAGAAGAGTGCAAAGATTTTAAATTTGGAGAGCAAAAAGTAGGGCTGCTCAATGACAGGGATGTTTCTCTTCCCATTCCTGTGTAAACCTACAAACATTTGGCCCAGCTACATACCCATAAAAATGCCTGTACATTTTCAGCAGCAGAGACTTAAACTCCCCAAGGCTGCATCAGGAACAGATAGGCCTCTCTCCTCTTTGCTTTCTACAAGCCCAGAATTTCTGCACCAAGGAAGCAAGCATATTCCAGTCATGGTAGGTAAGGCTGTGCAGTAATTGATCCCTTTACCCAAACTAAAAGCAAGATGCTGTATGCTTAGTTCTCCAAAATTTCTGCTGCTTGTGCCCAGACATGAAAGCACAAGTCAGATTCAAACAATGAGGGCTGAAGGCCAGCTGGGCAGATCAGCAAAAGACAAAACCAGATGAAGATAGGTTTGTGAAACTATATAAACAAATAGTAACAATGAAAAAATAGCCTGTGCCAAGTGGCTAGAGACTCAGTATTTGTGACTAATTGGGTATTTGTTCAGCCGTGGAACACCAATCTAACACCAAATCCTGAAACCCCATAGCAAAGCCAGGAAATTGCAAATCTTGTCCCATTTGCACATGCTGCAAAGCCAGCAAATAATAACAGGATACATACTCCTCAAAGAGAAAAACTGAAATGTATGTCTTTCCCCTTTCTCTTTTCCCCTTTCCCTTCCCTCTTTACCAGAGACAAACCTGAAAGCAGCGCAGTTACTGAAACAACATTCACTGCAGTGGACTTACTGGTTGGGTTTGGAACTCCAGAAACAATGTCCTTGCTGTCGGGAGTAAGGGCGCTGTAATTCGCGTGGTGGTGGTGATGGCGGTGGTGGTGGTGGTGCCTTGCAGGTATTTTTGCAGTATATGGTGTTCCACCATTCTCCTCAATGTTGAACTGGTGCAGATCACTGTTGTTCAAGGGATAGCTACAAAATAGTTCAAATTAGATCAGTAAACAGTAGCACCAACTGTATTTTGGAGAGACAGAGTGAAAACTTCCTTGGGAAAAAATGCATGCTTTTTTTGTAAGTAAAACTGTTAACTAGGTATATCCCAAATATTTACAGTTTTCTATTTACACAAGATCCATCAGGTGAGAAAAAAGAATGCCTCTGCTTGACTTTAGAATCAGAATTATTTTTGATTTTACACACTATACAATCTCTGCTAGAATCTTCCCTAGGAATGGAAAGGTGTCAGGCATCAAACAATAACTCCTTTAAAGTGAAATTTTCCAAAGAGTAGACCAAGGAACAGTCCCAGAATAACATTACATTCCTGAGAAAATTCAGTTCTTTACACTTCTGGTGCAAAATAGCTGTATAAAAAATTTCTAACTTGGGGAAAAAAATGGGAAAAGATACCATTGGAAATAAAAGATTTTACAGACAACAATAAAAAAAACAGCACTTGGTCAAAAAGGTAACTGAACTATGCTGGTACACTACCTAGTTTGGGGATTTGGGGTATGCTTTGGTTGGTTGGTTGGTTTGGCTTTTGGTTTTGGTGGTTTTTTTTTTTTTTTGGTTGGTTGGTTGGGTTTTTTTGCACATGTTAAGTCTGGAGAACTATCATCAGTCTATAATATATGGAGAAATGGGGACAATGACATTTTAATTCACTATCTCTAACTCAGATGTGACATATGACACTGCTACTTTTCTTCAACAGTTTTAATGGATGCTGTATCAGTTTATTATTTGAAATGACGATGAATTTCCAGAAATTATATTTTCTCTCCACTCCAACAAACAAAAAAGATTGAGATAACTCTACATAGATGTTGCAAATTACTTGACTGTGCTTTCCTCAGAGGAGTGCTTAAAATTTTTATAAGGTTTTAACTTATTCTATAGTCTTGTATTAGACAGTAGTTGCAGTAAATCAATTCATTCCAAGAAGAGATGAATCCCCTGACTATTTGAAAGATGCTAAAGAAATTATATCTTCAGCTGCATGGATTTTCATTTTGCTTTTATTACTAAGAGCAGCCAAAAAACTGACAATATGGAATAAAGACAAACAGAATAATTAAAGGAACAATGAATAAAGTATACCTAAGTTACTTGCTACATATGTTCTCTGCAGATTACTTAGTGATTCAAAGCAAAATTAACCAGTCATCTGCAAATAAACACATCTGTATAATTTCCAGAGTTATACTGAAGCACGCAACTGGGTACATCATTAATAACCACTGTCTTCTTAGTAACAACTTCTGACAACATGAGGTTTCTTACTGGGTGGTAATTGAATAACACTTTTATTCTGGTTACTTTTTGGAAGCAGGAGGTGGGGAGGGGAATGTTGTGTATATTAATCTTGGCAGGTTCCCGGCATGTATCAACCACTGCCAATAAAGGCACTTCTGATGCCTTATTTGACCCAGGGAAACAATACAAATAGGTGTCTGATCCATAGGGGACAGCTTTGGTGAGCTCAGATAATCCAGGAATGGTCTGCCTTTTCAAACTGCACTAAGTCCTCACTTTTACAATCAAATCAAGCAAGTGCCTACAGGGGGAAAATGGTACAGGCTAACGAAATTGCACACTAATTGTAGCAGCTCTCCTGCACTCCCCCTTCAAGTGCCGTGGTGACAGTGACATTTTTTTGACTGAGGGGATAGGTGGTTTTGTTCGCATGGTTAAAAGCCTTATGGGAAACAAGATCAGTTTGGGGCCGAAGCCTCAGTACATTTTTTTTTTTCAGACTATAATTCATTATTTTTTTTCCAAAACATAAAACCCCACATGCTTAGGAGTTCCTTTCATTTCACCCACTGGCAGGCTGGTTTAGCAAATTTTCAACTAGTCTTTTCAAAATGAAAACCATATTGCTATGGACCTGATGTAACTTCCATGCTAAAACGGGAATGAGTTGAGCAACTGAATGAGCCAACTGAACTGCCCTCTGGCATGCACCAAATGCACTACTTGTATTTCTTGACTGTCCAGAGAGCAGAGTTCACACCATGTAAAATGTAAAATGCAGGGAGACCATTATTTCAAAGAAGAGGTGGTCCAGAAAAGCTAATGTTCAGATAGGTACTGAAATCTTTGAGGACAGGTCACAAAGCCCCAGACAGAGTGTCAATACCCAGGCAGTGTACCCTGGTGTGAAATCCCATGTTCAAACTGCCGGCCCATTTAAAAGGATGTGGCAATAACTTTTCCAGGGCTGACAGCAACTGACAGATGTTAAGGCAAACTCATCTCAGTGGTTAGCCAACTCTTGCAGTTCTGATGGATATGAGGGTGGACTTTTACACACATACCCTCACTACTAGACCAATGAGTTACTGAGCAATCATAAACAACAGACCTTATAGCAGCCCCAGAGCCAGTTGACTAGAAAAGCCAACAATACTCAAACAAAAATACCATGAGTATTCCTTTTCTGTGTACTCTCTGCTGAATATTTTAGAGTCACATTGGACATCTTACTGCAGTTTCTACAAGGTGGCATCATTATTATTACATATCACATCTGGTTTTTGTTTAATTTTCTGTTCTTCCACTGTCTTCAATCCTCAGACTTTATGTTTTCCCCCTCAATGCATTTTTTTGTCATTAACTTTGCTTTCTATTGCTTGCTTCTATCTGGCTTACCTGAATAGAAAATAAGCTCATGCATCCTTCCCAATCCATTGAGGTAAATAAATCACTACTTTCAACGAAACAACTTTCTGACCATATTCTAAGCTCTCCAGGTATTCACACTTGCTCCTCAGACACCAAGTAACGCTCTCACACTATGTACATTACATGGATAGGTAGCAGTTTTCATCCTTTCTCTTGTACCTGCATTTTGGCCATCCTAATGTGCCAATGTAACACCCTTGCTTCACCTTTTAACAGCTTACTGGCTGTCCTGCAGGTTTCCTTTCCCCTCTGTTATTTACCAGTGTAGTTTTCTCAACAAGGTCCAGCTGCTTCTTATACAACCAATTCCTGTCCTTCAAGCAAAATAAGGCAAGGCCCTACAGGCTATTGTGTAAAGGAAGAAAACATTTCTTTCTCCTCTGTCCCTCACTCAGGCAAAGAACTCCAGAGGATTCAGTTACTGAAGGCTGAACCTTCAAAAAAGCCACCTAAAGTCCACAAAATATTTGGTGTTGCCTTTAGACTCAAACACACAATTCCTTTCTTCGGACCAAAAAGGCAGCATATAGAGGAATAACATGTATCTTCTGGTTACCTTTCCCATTTAAAAAATTTTATTTACATTACTATTCCTCTGCTCCAATTTTAAGCTCCTCACACTTTACCTGAAAAGCTATTTTCAGTTGACATTCTTAAATTTCATGTAAACCAGTCACCTACTGCCTTACTAAACCATGTCTCTAGCGTGCAATTCACACATACAGTAAGTGTTAAGAGAACAGAGGAAAATGGGGAACAGAAAGGTTTTTGAAAGCCCTCAAAACCAAGGTCTGTGTTACCCCAACTGATCAGCTGAACTGAACCTCCAACACCTTCACTAGCAGAGACTCCACGACCGTCCTGTGCAATTGATTTTAGTGTCTCACTATGACTGCGCACATTTCTTTGTTTATTCTGTCTCCTTTACTGCAATTTAAGCCTGCTATTTTCTCTCCCATCCATCACAGACACAGTAAGAAGGTTATTTCTTGCTACAGAAACCTATGTTTTTGAAAATGGCCCTTCATATCACCCTTCAGCATCTGAAGAGCTTTGAATTCTTCCATTGCCACTCACAGGTCACACATCTCCTACAGCTCTGATACATCTTGCCACCCCTGTCCAGCCGGCTGCTCCCTGCTCTGCCTCCAACATGCAGTGCTCAGAACTGGACCCCATTCCAGCGGAGGCCTTGCAAACACATTCTAAACAAGAAGGGTTGCTTCCCACGTCCTACAGGATCTACTCGTGTTTATACACTGGAACATGACATTTGTTTTTCTCTATATAGCCTGCGATTGTTGACTCACATTTAACATGATTCTCAAGAACACCTTTCCTAAACTGGCCAGGTTTTGAGCCCTACTACCTCAGCGTGAAGCAGGTTACTCTTACCCAACAGCATACACTGTCATTCCTCCTGAGCTGTGCCCCACTCTTTCTGATGTGCTAAGATCAACACCCATTCAGGACTTTTCTCTCATCCATGACAGGCTGGTATGAGAAGACTCCCAAATTGCTGTACCCTGTGAGTGACAAGGGACTTACTAAAAAAGAGTAATTGCCTTTTCATGCCATCCTCACAGCTGCCATCCTCTTCCTCCCGTAGAATGTAACTGTGTAGCTCTGAAGAAACATCTTTCATCTGCCTTACTCATGCACCCTGCCCATGTTCCCCTTTCCCCCACTCTTCCTCTAGGCATCTCCCACTTGCCTGAAGTTATGCTTGAAGAGCAAGCAGAGGAGCTTTCTTCTTTCCCCTCCTTGGGGAGGCTAGGGGTGGCAATAGCAGAAAGCAGGCTCAAATTATCATGCCTCTTGGATGACTCTCCAAGAGTTTAGACCTTCCCTACTATAGCTGACCAGCAGTTTAAAGACATCCCAGGCTTCCAGGTCTGACTGTGATAACTAATCTTCAATAATTACCACACTCATCTCTATTTGCTTTGAACATTCCTCCTGCAACAAACCACTGCGATTTTCCAGTATTTAAAAATCCTCAAGCTTTATGCCAACACGTTCACAACCCTTCTCGATCCTCCACCATCTGTAGTTCAGAACAAGCCTGATGGTGTTTCGTGCAGGTTTCAGCAGCAAAATCCACACTGCTGGCTTGGTACTGAATGCATTGGGAGACGCATCATCCATCATCATTTTGCTGTGATACCTTCTCCAGCATATCAAAATGCGCTTTAGATGTGCTCTCAAATGGCAGTCAGGGAAAGTGTTAACAATGTTTGTTAACATGTATATATATTGACATGTATGTAGTAAAAGCAGCC